CCTGCTTGTATTCCCTCTCTCGCTGTGTCTCTCTCTGTCAAATAAATAAATAAAATCTTTAAAAATATATATAATAAAGCTCTGAATTATTATGTACATTTAAATGTACATTTATTTTTACTTGTTTTAAAATTGTTTATTTCAATTCTCTTATTTTTAAAAACTGATCTTTTTTCTGCTCATCATCACTTATCAGAGAAATGCAAATCAAAACTACAATGATATCTCACCTCACACCTGTCAGAATGGCTAAAATAAAAAAGCACAAGAAAGCGAGAATGTGGAGAAAAAGGCACCATCATGCACTGTTGATGGAAATGCAAACTGGTGCAGCCACTGTGGAAAACAGTATGGAGGTTCCTCAAAAAGTTAAAAATAGAACTACCCTAGGATCTCTGGATCACGCCAATGGGTATTTACCCAAAGAATACAAGAACACTAATTCAAAGGAATGCATGCACCACTATGATTATAGCAGCATTATTTATAATACCCAAACTGTGGAAGCAGCGCTAGTGTCCGTTGATTGATGAATGGGTAGAGAAGAAGTGGACCATATATACAATGGAATGTTATTCAGCCGTAAGAACAAATGAAATCTTTCCATTTGCAACAACATGGATGGAGCTACAGAGTATAATGCTAAGCAAAATAAGTTAGAAAAAGACATATACCATATGATTTCACACATATTTGGAATTTAAGAAACAAAACAAGTGAAGGGGAAAAATAAGAGAGGAAGAGACAAATCAAGAAACAGACTCTTAATTATAGAGAATAAACTGATGGAGGAGAGAAGGGTGTAGGGGGATGGGTGAAATAGATGATGGGGATTACAAAGTGCACTTGTGATGAGCACTGGTGATGTATGGAAGTGTTGAATCACTATATTGTACACCTGAAACTAATATAACACTATTAGCTAACTGGAATTAAAATAAAAACTTAAAAAAATGATTTCTTTATATTGATTGAATACACTTAACACTTGAAAGTAGACCAAGGCTTGAAATGTGTTCATATCATGTTATTAGGTGTACTAATTTTCATGTATGTAGCTTTTTAAAAATGTGATTATTAATGAAAAGTGTGTTATCTAAAAAGCACTGAAAATGTCTTATTTATATATTTTTTTTAGTTGGATCACCGTTATAATGAATTCAAACTTCACGCAATTATGTCTGAACATAAAAAAACAATCACAGCTATCTCTTGGTGTCCACATAACCCTGATGTGTTTGCAAGTGGCAGTACCGATAATTTAGTGATCATTTGGAATGTTGCAGAACAAAAAGTCATTGCTAAGCTCGACAATACAAAAGGTATATTTATAACTGGGGTTTATTTTACTAAATGATTTTAGATTTTTAAAATTTATTTGACAGAGAGACAGCCAGAGAGGGAACACAAGCAGGGGGAGTGGGAGAGGGAGAAGCAGGCTTCCCGCCGAGCAGGGAGCCCGATGCGGGGCTCGATCCCAGGACCCCGGGATCATGACCCGAGCTGAAGGCAGATGTTTAACAACTGAGCCACCCAGGCACTCCAAAATATTTTTATTTTAATAAGCAAAATATCTTATTTAAATTAGCTCAGGTTTTAAAGTACTGCTTTTCAAACTTTCCAGTGGAAATCTATGTAAGAAATTTCGTATCTTGACTCATTGTACATATATATAAAACTGAAACAAAATTTCATGAAACATTTATACTTAGTACACCGATCAGTTAAAAACAGTCAATACCAAATGATTTCATTAATAGGTAAATATAACAAAACTTCCCAAAATAAATATAAAAATAATTGGTACGATTTTCTTAATGAGACAATTGGTCTAGCCTGTTCATTACTCTATTCCAATCTGAAACATACACTGACAGTGTTACGCATGTAATCAGGGCCCTGCTGAGTTGGTTTCTTTCTTTTATTTTTAATTGGGTCAAGATAGAAAGTCCTAGTTCACACAAGTAGGTCTTAGTGAATTGAATATTATTACACTCTTTCTAGCTAGCCTCTTACCCCATGATAATGATGAAGTTACCATTTTTCTGTGTTAGATGTCGCAATAATTCAGTCCCTTTTTGAGTGCCAGGGGTGTCTCAGTTATTAATTATGATTTTGCAAGCTCCTGCTGGATGTGTTTTTCATGGCGGTTGTTCCTCTCACAATTACTGGTTATAACTTTGAGACAGAAAACTGAGATGTGACAGTCTCGCTAACTTTATTTTGTTCAGTTTCTTTATAATGTTCTTTTCGGTATGTAGCAACAATATTGAGAATTCATAGGCAATTATATGTAAATCTTGCTTCCCAGATAATAATAATGCCTTTTGGAACCTTTGGATATGCTCAGCATACTTAGTATATTTCTTTTTCCTTGTCTTTTCAAATTTAGGTCGTTAGGAATGTTGAAAATACCAGTAAAATAAACCAATTTTGTTACATAACTTTCATCTTAAAAAAAAAATTTTGCCAAACAAGTTTAATTTTTCAACTAGAAAAATGTGCATCTCATTCCCAAGCTCATATAATCTGCTGCTTATTTTCACTTGCAACAACCACTGAGCTTCAGTATTAGATAGTGTGCAGTGTGCTCCCATCTCTGAGCAAAAATTTTTTTAAAGTTATTCAGTGAGCTTCCATTCATGTAATGGTTTTCCTTCAGGTTTTCAATACATCAGTGAGAAAAAGCCAAAATACTTTTGGTACAAGGCTTTGTGATGTAGAAACAGCAATTGATAGCCTCAATCAAGATTTTTCATGTTTTTCTAGTCATACCTGTTTCTCTACCAATCACAAATCCTACAGGTTTTTCCATTATTGTTTTTAATGGTCAATAGTACATTTTCTCAATACTTTATATTCAGCTTTATGTGAAATTAATTTTAGGTAACACAATAAATACTCCTTAAATGCTACATGATGTCATTGTTCTTACAAAGTTATCACACAAAATCTATACTAGACTATAACTGCATAGCAACATTTTCTAAATGTTATGGTAGGTACAGATTAGACAGTATATTATTGTATTATCACCTAGTTTATCGACTGATTTGTCATCAAATACCATATGCATCACATCTTTTCATGATGGAAGAGTTTTTTATTCATTAGCTGTGTGCACCATAGCTTTTTTTGCCACAGAGGATACAATTAAATAAGACTTTTTCATTAGTTGAATCATTGAACATTATATCAAAAACTAATGATGTACTATACCTTGGCTAATTGAATTTAAATTAAAAAATAGCTAAATCCTAAAAAAAAAAAGGTTTTTTCATTAGCATTTGTAGAATTATTAAATAATTATAACAGTTTCGATCACTTTTACATATTTTTCCTTTCCTTACGTATCTTCCTTTCCTTTGAAAATTTTCAGAGGCTTTACAATAAGTTCCTCATGCCATTTCTAAATATCTTCTTACTTTGAAAATTGAAAGCTATATTTGCAAAAAAATTATGAATATTTTGGTTATTTTCATTGTAAGTAATTCCCTTTGAAATGTCTTAGACTCTGTTTCTTCTTTTCAGAATCCAGCTTAAGCAAAGTAGAAATTTGCATTTAGTCAACCTTTTTTAAAAATCAATATTAGAAAAAAAAAAATCAATATTAGAACTTGAACTTGCCTCTGTATTTTTTATTTCATTATTCTGTTTTCCACAGTAATAAAAATTTTATTTAAAACAAGTATTAGTTTGTTTAAATATAAAATGTTAAAATTATCATAAGGTTGAAAAATATCCCACTTGATAATATCCTTTCAGAAAAAACACCCCAAAACATTGTTCCCAATGGATAATAGTACTGCCTACCCATCTTAGAATATTTTGGGGAGAATTAAATGAGTTGATATTTTACAGAGTTCTTGGAAGTACTTAGAAATAATAAACCATTATAGAAGCCTTTTCTGTTTCAACCAAATGACATTGTTTCTGGTCCCTTCTCTTCCTTGCTGCCTCTCTGGAGACATGCATTCAGAGAGCCCGCGTTCTAGTGGCTTTCTTCAGGTGGTTTGACCCATTCAGAGTATCTCATCCCTTATTGGGAAATTCTACTTCTGTTAATGTATTCTAAAACCACATATATTTTTTAAAGATTTTATTTATTTATTTGACAGAGAGATAGATAAAGAGCACAAGTAGGCACGGCGGCAGGCAGAGGGAGAGGGAGAAACAGGCTCTCCACTGAGCAGGGAGCCTGACGCGGGGCTTGGTCCAGGACCCTGGGATCATGACCTGAGCTGAAGGCAGCAGCTTAACCGACTGAGCCACCCAGGTGCCCACCATATCAGCTTTTTATTGGCCTTATTCATGGACACATTCATTCCTTCTATAAATATTTATGGAGTTACCATTTTATGTCAGGCCCTGAACTAGGCGTTAGGCTTCTGGTTTCTGCCTCTTGGAGCATTAAGGACACAAATTGAATTTACTGTCAATGAACAACTTTCAACTCTGTATCTTTGTTTATAGCACTTCCTCTTCCTGGGAAATACTACTTATCCCATACATTAAACTCTGCTGCTTCCTCAAAGTATAATTCAAATCCAGCTTCTTTCCAGGACAGTTGCCCAACAGTTCACAAACCTTTCTGAATGTCACAATCATTTGGAAAACCTTGTTTTTGTTTTTAAGATTTTATTTATTTGACAGAGAGCACGAGCACAAGCAGGGGAAGCTGGAAGAGGGAGAAGCAAGCTCCCCGCTGAGCAGGGAGCCTGATGAGGGACTCGATCCCAGGACCCCGGGATCATGACCTGAGCCGACTGAGCCACCCAGGCACCCCTGGAATACGTTGTTACAAATAGATTCCTGGGCCCGAATTCCATATGAGCTGATGTGCATATTCAGTTTGCTGATTCTGATGGATTTGTTTAAAGTATCTGTGTTGGGAGATTCATAATCTCTGTCTTGAGTTATAAATTTACC